CCGCCATTTTGAAATTCCTAATTTTGATGAAGAAATCATAATCTCCGACCTCCAAGCCCCCCAGATACCAATTTTGAATGGAATCTGACCATAATTACAAAACTCGTCCGCCATATTGGATCCGCCATCTTGAATTTCCTAAATTTGACGAAAGAATCATAATCTCCGACCCCGAAAACCCCCAAATACCAATTTTGAATGAAATCGGATAACAATACTCGTCCGCCATATTGGATCTGCCATCTTGAATTTTCGATTTAAAAAATAGATTACGACCGATTCTCATACCTACTGAATACGCACAAAAAATTTCATTCGAATCGGTCGAGCCGTTTCGGAGGAGTTCGACCACTAACACCGTGACCGAGACAGGAGAATTTTATATATTAGATAAAGGAGTTGAGGATATTGTTTTTTGTTATGAAGAATTTTTTTTTAGAAAAATGTAGTACAGCTTTTAATATTCATGCCGTTCACTTTCGAAAATATTCCTAATTTTCTTCGATCAGTCTATGCAGATATATATTTCGTAAAAATATAAAAATGTCAAAAACTTAAAAGAATGCAATAGAACGTTCAAATTTGAGACACATGTGTAAAACCGGAATAGGAACAACTTTTATCATTAAATTATTTTGTTATTCGGACAAATTTGACAATCCAGTTTTCAGCGATTAATTAAAAAAAAAATACTTTCGAAAGTAGCGAAAGTCACGTGACCCCCATCAAGTAGGTAATTATTCATCTTTATTAAAGCAAAACTGAACTGAACAATGAATTATATGAATAAATAATTACAAATAGCAAAACATGATCATATCTCAAGGTTATTTTAATAATAGAGTCAAACCTGGTTATAAACAAATATATCACTCAAATTAACTCTCACGCTCTAGGAATATAAAAATAACTACTTGATATCGCACAAACACATTAGACATGTACCAAATTTAATAAATACCGGAGATTATAAATCCTTATAAATAGTCAACTTTGGATGATACAGGGTGATTGGAAATGCGCATACAGTAAGGGTAGGTGAAGGACACCAAAGTGCTTCTGGATAATCCATATTTCATGGGTTTATCATACTTTATAACCAAGATACAGGGTGATTTATTCAATTCCCCAATATTTTCAATCAATCGTAACTCATTAACCATAATATCTATTGGGAGCAACCACTTGCCCTGTCCACAGCTTTGCAGACGATATACAGTGATGGGCAAAAGTGTGGAACCAAGTGAATATCTCGGTAACTGTTTGTTAGATTTTTTTGAATTTTTGTACAGGGTGATTTCAAAACACGGCGGATTCGAAAATGTTATCGCCAATGTTGCCACGTTTCCAGATTTTCTGAAATTCTTGCCAACTTTACTATTTCAAATGGCACACCCTATATATTTTTATAAAATCTCAAAGAAAATATTTCAGCAAATTTATTGATGTATAATTTAATATTTTTATTTTCAACACAAAATTGCCGTTACTGGTCGCAAACTAATCCTCACTGGGTACAAGACGCGCATACGCAACACCCTCGAAAACTGAACGTTTGGGTCGGTATTTACAATAACAGGATTGTGGGGCCTTTCTTTTTAGAAGACACTTGCATTGTTCGAGATCTCTTTGACAGGACATTTCGTAATAGATGGATTGGAAGAGAGGTACGATTGAATGGCCTGCGCGATCCCCCGATTTAACTCCGTTAGACTATTTCCTATGGGGTTATTTGAAATCCAAAGTTCATTTCAACCGACCAAATAGCTTGGCAGAATTAGCTGAAAGAATAACCGAAGAGATTCAAAGAATTCAACCAGGAGTTATTGCTAATGTTACAAGGGAATTTACAAACAGACTAGCCTACTGTCAAGAAGTAAACGGCGCTCAGTTTGAACATTTGATAAAATGAGTTCATTTTCACTCGATGCTTCTCTTTTTTTATTTTACTAATTTGTATTGATTTAATTCTGGTTACTATGTGGTTGGTACGATTTTGTTATTATCTCGGTTTGCTTTGGAATAAAAAATATCGTACTTCATATTTTTAAATTGAATTTGTCAAATGTCGGTAGTGAGGATTTTTAATAAGGAGAATACATCAGCTTTAGTTAGTTTCGATTATTTGGTTACTACCTTAGTTATTTTTTGAGATATCTCTGTTGTTATTGAAAATAAAAATGATAAATTATACATCAATAAATTTGCTGAAATATTTTCTTTAAAATTTTATAAAAATATATAGGGTGTGCCATTTGAAATAGTAAAGTTGGCAAGAATTTCAGAAAATCTGGAAACGTGGCAACATTGGCAATGAAATTTTCGAATCCGCCGTGTTTTGAAATCACCCTGTACAAAAATTCAAAAAAATCTAACAAATAGTTACCGAGATATTCACTTGGTTCCACACTTTTGCCTATCACTGTATAGTGCTCTCCATACTGCATTCTCTTCTAGATCTTGCGGATATTACAGCACCAAGAACCTAGTTGAATTCAACGCCACCAAAACTCAAGCCTGTATTTCCTCTAGAACTCAGTGAGCCTGGTATAACAATGCCTGGTACCACCATTCCCACCAAGACTTTTATATCTATACTCCTTATTACCATCAGCAATACTCTCTCTAGGGAAAATCTTATCAGCTCTATCGCAAAAATCTGCTTCACAAAAACTCGCATTCTTGTTCCGTGCGAAAATCTACTTTACACCTCAACAGCTTCTCATTATTTACAAAGCACAGATACGACCTGTTCTAGAATACTGTTCTCACATATGGGGTTCAGCACCCAAACATACTCTGATGCTCTTATCAATCCAGAGAAGAGCTATTCGCCTGGTGGGTGATGCCACACTCGTAGAAATGTCGGTTATCTTCCACTTTTTTATGGATACTTCCACGGGAACTGTTCCTCACAAATCTCTGCAATAATTCACTAGCAATACCAGTCAGACGAACTCGACAGGTCCAGTCAGTGGCACTTGATATATCCAAGGCATTCGATCGAGTCTCGCACCATGGACTCCTCGCCAAGCTTCCATTTTATGGCTTGTCCCCCCCAGCTATGTTCTCTGCTAGCTAGTTTTCTCTCAAACAGGTCTCTCCTAGTGGTCGACGGAGTTTCATTTGACTCTCTTATCATAAATGCTGGTGTTCCACAAGGATCAATTCTAGCACCAACACTATTTCTACTCCATATCAACGATTTGTTGGAAGCAACTTCATGTCCATTATACAGCTTCGCGGATGATAGTACCCTCCATACCGCCTTCTCTTTCAGGTCTCCAATACCAGCCAGGCGAATCAGAAACGAACGAGGAAGAAATGTTGACAACATAAATATGGACTTGGCAACAATTCTCGAATGGGGGTCCAATAACTTGGTAGATTTCAATGCAAACAAAACACAAGCATTCCTTTTCTCTACAAAAGCCGATCTCACTGTGCCCAACATAAGCTTGTCAGGGGTAACCATACCTTTGAAGACATCCATTTCGATGCTTGGGATTACTATCAGCAATAACCTTCCTTGGGAAAATCACGTGAGATCAATGGCTAGAAGTGCATCCCAAAAACTTGGTTTTCTGTTTCGGGCCAGGAGCTATTTCACTTCCAGTCAGCTGCTTATGATCTATGAGGCACAGATCCGACCTGTCCTGGAATACTGTTTCCATACTCGGAGTGCAGCACCCAAACATACCCTGAAACTGTTGGATCTTGTCCAAATAAGGGCAATTCGTCTAGTGGCTAACGGTCCAGATGGAATTCCACCCATTATCCTCAAAAAATGTGCACCAGAATTAACACCGATTCTCTGCAAGTTGTTTACCGTCTCTTACAGGTCGGATATTTTTCCATCATGCTGGAAGACAGCTAGAGTCCAACCAATCCCCAAAAAAGGGAACAAGAACCTGCCCATCAACTACAGGCCCATTTCCCTGTTATCAGTAATCTCCAAAGTGATGGAGAAAGCCATCAATATTAAGCTTATCAAATATCTGGAGAGCTCAGGAATCATCAATGATAGACAATACGGCTTTCGCCACCGAAGATCTACTGGAGATCTACTTGCCTACGTCACCCATTTATGGCAAGCTTCATTAGAAAATCACGGGGAATCTCTAGCTGTCGCGTTGGACATATCGAAAGTATTCGACCGTGTTTGGCACGAAGGACTCCTCCACAAACTACCATCATACGGCTTACCACCTCAGCTATGCCATCTCTTATCGAGTTTTCTTTCAGGCAGATTGCTTCACGTGGTGGTGGACGGTGTATCGTCTGATACCATTGGCATTAATTCCGGCGTTCCACAAGGATCAATTTTGGCACCAACA